TCGTTAAATATATATAATTAATTAGACTCTCAATCACTTGGTAATTAAATTCGTTCCGTGCTTCGCTATAAATTACATATAAATAACCTTTGGGTGAGTAAAAAAGTTCAAATGAGATTCTTGCGTAATTTAATATCAAACCGCATTAATTCCGTATACTTTCAAACTCTGTCCTACGCAATTTCGCAATTCTTGAAAATCAACTTCCGGTTATCGATTTGACACAAATATTTATACGAGGATTAATAATAAGCTTGACCAAGTCAATGATATCCGAGAAATGTCAAATGTGGGAACCCCCCCCCCCAACCCCGCCAATTTCAGAACCCTTCAAAGGGTTGTATATTTTAGGAACGGTAATAGGACTGACGTCATCGTTGATTCATTGGATGACGACGATATACATATATACACACACTTGGCATTACAATAAATTATCGTGTTTCCGATAGTCTCGAAATTCAATCACGAAATTCAAATCCACCTACCTGTATCAAGCTAGGATGAAAATGACTCGTAACAACCGTGAGAATGTGGGGCAACTCGGCACCGGGGATTCGAGTTTGACGCGAGTCCATTAGGAGTTACGAGCTTCGGCCGGTTAGCCATGGGCCCCAACTTCGAATTGCGTCTACATGTAAACGGCTATGTCGCGTAATGGTATCCCCGTCGGAGATTACTGTTCCTTGACAAAGTTTCGAGTAGTGTGTGCCGATAGTAGTCAGACAGGGAAACGCAAAGTGGAACTTCCGGTGGTGATCCGCGATAGGCACTGACGTAATACGCGAAGTGGATCCGACTTAACGAAAGAGCAAAAAAGGAAAAATAAAATCGTCCTACAAAAAAAAAACATTACAAAGAGCGAAAAAAAAAAGATGGGCGAAGGATGGAAGAATTTAGATGAAAAAGGAAGGAAAGTGATACAGGGAGGGAGGGAGGGGGCGACAATGCAGAAAATACGTAGGAGGAATGCAAAAGGGGTGTCGCTGGAAAACGGCCGCAAAATGGCTTCATTTTTCGCGACGTAACGAGCTCCGGGGATTGAGCGAGGTAACGGGGGTGGTTTTAGGGGGGCGGTGGGGGGTTGGTAATAACGGACCGTGCACGTGCAGCTTGCACTGTGGATGCGGCGGCACCTTTCTCGGAAACGATTCAAAGAGCCAACCATGTAACCATCCATTATGGTAGCCAACATACCTAAGGGGGATGTGCTCGAGGAATGTTTTACCTGGTATTTTCTTGGATACTCGTGGCGCTTCGAAATGTAATTTATTGTGGAATTCTTCGGAATTCACGATTCTTACGAAGATTTATAGCGGGACTTGATAAGCAGTGTGTATGTATGTGTATAGTCGGGATCATGGAAAAATCCACGATTCAGATGTGCCAATGATTGTCGAAGGGTTTACAACGTCAAGGGCCATTCAACGGACCCCTGCGGGTCTTTCAAGATGAATCGAACAGTGGAAGAAGAACGTTATCCTGATCCAGGTAATTCTACCGTATAAAATAATCGTTTATATCGCCGACGAATGAGTCCGGATTACGTGCTATCGTCCACAAATTACTTATTTAAACAGAAAAATCCCATTCGGGGGTAAGGGAAGCTGGCGTTAGCGTCACTACGTCTATCTATACCCATCTATGTAATACTAACACCAAAGTAGCCTTGCATTATCTAAGCCTAATTTCGGATTTTACAAAAATTTTTTCTACATTAAAAAAGATACCGGTTAGATGTAATCTTTAGGGGATGTTTCTTCTGGATTTTTGACAAACCAATTTTGATGCGTTTTATACCATTTATACATGGTTTCGTGTCTTCGTATTCCTTGATTCAAAACTTTTGGACTTTACTATACTTCAAGTCTATTGAGACAACACGATGACATGTAAAATAGTAGCGAAGAAAATCGAGCGCAATATACGTGACGTATAGGAATGTAAATGAGGAGTGAAATATATAGGATTTTGCGAAATATTAAAAAAAAATTTCACGCGTAATATCAAATATGGGAAAGATCATAAGTTATCATCGTGGATAAAGTGTATTGTCAATAATGGGAAAAAAACTGAAAAATAAGAAAGATTTTTCACAATTAAGAATAGTAAAAAAATGAAATAATGAAAAATTGTATTCCTGCCTCCGGTGGCAGGATATACGTTTATCACATTTTGTCCGTAAAACGTGTCGCATTTGAAATTTAAATACCGAAGCGACAGCAGCGCCATCGCTTCGGGGGGAGGGGATTACGTCCTCTGTTGGACGTCGTGCCATTGTCTTCCGAGAGACGTCAGCTCGCAGCAACGAGATATAAATAGAAATTATTTAACGGGTGAGATTAGTGTAAAAGCTGCGAAAACAATGGACACCGTACAATAGGACGTCAGTAACGCGCATGCGCCCGGACTCGTATTTCAACGAGCATTTAAACAGTCAACAACGAAATAACCGTGGCAGCTGGCGAAGTCGTTATTAAATTTGAAAATCGAAAAGTACCTACTGTGTCGACCAAGAGAATATCAAGTACAATGGCTGCAGTCGGTATAGATAATATTCTTTCGAAATATACACTGCATGAAAAAAATGAAAGAGCTTTCAAAATTGAAACGTAGTACATGAAATTAGACTGACGTTTATCCACATACTCGTGTGAACTGAGCAAATTTTTTGAAAATTCCAATTTTGAATATTTTGATTTATACGAATTAATAATTTTGGAAATTTGAATTCACATAAAACAGGTACCAAAGTACGGGTGCACCCGATTGCCGGTATTTTTTTGAAAATGAAAATTTTCAAAATTATCCATCACTATCAGTCTATAGTACTGAAGCAAGGAATTTCAGGAATTCGTACTGATAAGATGACTGTCTGTGGATAAGACTTACCAGGAAATATGAAAATGCAAGTAGAGTGGATGGCCCAATCGTCGGGCATGTGCCAGTAATCGTCAGTGTGTGCTTTGACTATAGCTAAATCTATAGTATTATAACACAACAGACGATTACTGATACACGGCCGATGACTGGGCTATTCACCCTACTTGGATGTGACGCGACGATGTCGACGTCGCCGTACAGTGACGCGGCTTTTATCTAACGCTCATTAAGCGGGAAGTCACCCGGACGACGCTGAAAGGCAGAATCGACTCGAGGTCTTTCAAAGATCTCGACGGCGTCGCGACGCATATATTTCACTGTAAAATAGTTACGAGTCGTGCTTCCGCGTCAAATGTCAATGGCCCCGACAAGGCTTGCACTACCCTGACACTTGGTGACGTGTCGCACAACAGCCCCGAGTGCTGAAGGCATTTGACACGTCTACAGCAACTTTCATCCCTATAGAAACGACGCTTTCGGAAAAGAAGCGTCGCGAATACAGTCACCGGTTATTTTACCTACGTTCAACCAGAAGTCCCGTCAGCGTTAAGACACAAAAAAATAATCCGAGTCAGAATTTCCCCATTTTCCATAATTACACGACGTTCCTTCAGATCGATACCCGCTTCAAAATCATATCCTTACAAAAGGAGAACTGGGCCGAAACAGATATTTTCTTCGAAGAAAGCTTCGTTATATCGTATTAAGGACGTAGTTACACAAAGATCGACAGAGAGAACAAAAAATGACAAAAATAAAGCACCAAAGAAGAAAAATTAATGAGCACGGATTCCCTCGAAAAGAGATCCGCCGTTCCTCCAGGCGTGAACCGCCAGCAGCGCCAACGGCGGACGTTGAAATTAATAGTCACATTAGTCCTTGCGTTTCGTTATGGCTGAGCTAGCCGAGTAAAAAGCTCGGGGGCTTAAACGCTTTTGCAAACGTTCGCACTGCCAACTGCCGGATAAGGGTTTTAGAATGGGAACCGAAAGATTGTCAGTTGCCCGTACCATGACCAACTACCAACTGTAAATACATATGGTATATTTTTAAGAAGGGCACTTCTCAGAACATTGTGTCTTGACTATTGGCAGTTATGAGGACACTCGGTGTTTGACAAGCCCGATAGCACCTTTATACGTAAGGTATACTGTCAAGACAATAAAGCGGCACTCACACCGAATTTTCCAAAAATTTTTCATGCTAGACACTCGAAGTTGCGATGGGCTGAGAAATGGTTTCGTCGGGCTAAATTAGGTTAGAATTCCAATGCCACTTTTTTCAAGGTTTAATTCTTTTTTTTTAGAAAAAAAAAATAAAGGCTTTTCGTTGTGAGAGTCACGCGTCCTCAAAACTATTCTTTGGCAAATATATATATATATACGTATATACCCCTGTATATAGCTCTGAACCGGTATATCTGCGGCTGGGAAGGGTCTGACGTGGATCAGCGTTCATTAACAGAAACAGTATAACAAATTGATTGGTCCATGTACACGTAGAACGTACAAGCTACGCGTGTATTTCTTTTTAAATTACATAATTAATTTTTAACACGTTCGAGCGAAACACACCCGGGTATCCCGATTTCGCAGAGTGACCCAACCTACAACGTTGTACTTGACTTTCTACCTTATTACGTAACCAGTGGACCTGGGGCTAGACCTATATCTTAGAGTGGTAACGTTTAAGCGACTTGATCCCTGACCCCAATTTCATCCCTCCTAAGCCATTCCACGGCCGGTTTGGTAGCTTCGGTCGTAAGGCCCTGACGCCCTCAGCTGAAAAGGGACCCTCCTCTTCGAGCGCTGGCACAACTTTCGGACATTAACAGGTCCACGGATGACAGGATGCTGACCCGTGTCAAATGGACGCGGGTTTTCCCTCTCGTCACGCACTCCACCTTGGTAACACGATCTAAGGGTGGATCCTAACCGGTCGCTGCTACGTATAAAGACCACCGACGGTATCTGGTAGCGCCATTATTATTGACGTCACGAAGGGCCGAGGGTGACGTTTTGCCGGGGAACGACTTATTCGCAATTAACCCACGGGATAATTAAAAGATGGCGTCTGACGCTTATAAATGCATGAGGTATAAGGCTTGAGCCACTTACAGTCGACTGCCAGAAATTCCAGTGGGTCCAAGGCCGGCTGCGGTTGGGGGGTGGTGGCCAAATCCTCTTTTCAGGAATTCTGAAAACTAAGGAGAAAATCGTTACTTTGGAATTACGTTACCCTGAACGCTTCACTGGATGCATTTTGTTAAGGGGGGAGTCTAGGGGGGTTAGTTGCCGAACGATCGTTTCTTGGGTGGGGAACGAAAGGGAGATGGAGAGGGATGAAAAAAAGCGGGATGGAAGAAAAAGGAGAGAGAGAGATGGAGAACTGCTGTGTGCAAACTCATCGAGAGTCCAACACGTGGAAGAGGGGATGACGGGGG